ATTATGTGATACTTTATTTCTATACTAGCTTACCTTTGCTTTTCTGTTGTCTATCTTTGTATGTGGTTTCTCTTTTGTATATCACCTAATAGTGTGAGCTTAGAGATTTATTTTTGAGTTGTTCCAATTAGAGGTGAGGGAGAAACAAATGAATTGTTAGATAAATCTACAAAAGTATATTTTTTCTTGAAGAATGTTTGTTTTACTAGTTGTTCTTTTAGTATCTATGTAACGTTTTATTTTGATAATTTTATACTATTAAAATGAAATATTGGATTCATTTTACATCTTTTCGGCTGCACCCGTCATTATTTTATTTTTCTGCACCCCATGATTTGTTTTGGAGTATGTAGTATTACTCGTTCAACCCATAGCTACACTGGACACACCTTTACTTTACTTTATTTCGTTTTGTACTAGGCCGCGTATCATCACATTACTCACACATCCAACTTTTCATTTTTTAAGTTTTAGGCTCCTATTGTGTTATTTTAAACACTTGTTTTTCATACCCCCACCGTTTTACAAATGCACTTTTTTTCTCTAAAAACAATCGAATACTTAAAAATTATAAAATCTTCAATATTAAAATTATAAATAGTTTTAAAAAATAAAAAAAATGTAAAAAATGAAAATTAAAAAATACTTTTATTTCTATTGCTTTTGTTTTTATATCTCTCCGGTCACTCGTGTTGTCTAACATTTATTTTCAAATAATTTAAAAATTATAAAAAATATAAAGTAGTTTTCCAAATTAAAAAATTCAAATCAACATTTTCTTAAATAGTATTTCACGTAATCTTTAATTTTTTTATTATGAATGAAAATATGTGAAAATAAGTATTAATCCTTGTCTAACGTTTTTTTTTAATTCTTTTCCTTATAAGTATTTTATTATTTTTGGCAAAATTTAAATATTTTTAAAAACTATATCTTTTTTACACATTTAATTATCATCATAGGTTGGATAGATACTAACACCTCTTCTATATGCTATTGACTCTTGAAAAAAATTGATTTCGTAAACCACACTATATTTTATTTATTTTTTATTTTTTTAGCTTTTCAAAATAAACTAAAGTCACGACATCAAATCTCTTTTCAAATATCTTTTTTTTATCGTTCCTTCACTATATAAGTTGCGACACATTACATTTTGAAATATCTTTTTAGGATGGCTAATGAAGTAAAAATATATTTTTTTAATTTTCTTACTGTATAAATTTATTATACTTTTCTTTCATACAAAATTATTTATTTTAAGTTTTTTCTAATAATTTAATTATTAAAATTATAAAATTAAATTTTATTTATTAAATATATATGTAAATATTTTAAGAAAAATATATAAATGTCTTAATATTTAAATTTTAATTAATTAATAAAATTTTCAAAATTATTTTAAAATAAAAATATGTTTATAAAAAAATTAATAAAATGGAAGTTATTTGTTTTTATAATGACTCGTATAAGACAATATGAAAAAGTAATTATTTAAAAGTTTAAAAAGAAAAAAATTAAATATTTAATTTATTAAATTATTAAAATCATTTTAAAACAAAATTATGTTTAGGTAAAAATGTTTAAAAAACATAACAAACTTAAACGTATTAAAATGGAAAATGTCTCATAATCTCACACTTGATAATTCATAATTGATATATTGTAGCATTACATTTAAGGTAACATCCCTTAATCTCACACTTCATAATTCATATAATTCTTCTAATTTATTCTTCTATCTTTTTCTTCATTGGCACTGAATCAAACGACATTCCTTCATCTGCTCCCGTATAACGAATTATACGATCATCGCACATACACAAACACAAACAAGTAGGGTGAGCTAACATGCAACAAATCATTTATAAAACATGCATAATTACTTTGATACACTCAACAAACCTCACATAATAATTATATGTCAGACACCCTCATACCATCATACAACAATCGCATCATAGATACTCATCCCATCATACCACAATCCCTAATAGACACTCATCCCACAATACCCAATAAACACTCATTCCACAATATTCAATAGACACTCATTCCACAATACCCAATAGACACTCATTCGGATGATACGATGATGAGCGGTCACGGGAGGTTATGCACTTGTGATGACTTCTACTTCTTCTTACAAATACACTTCCAAAATACTCCATACCATCCACAAGGTTAGTCCTCAACACTATGTCCAAAACAGACACATAGACCAGGACCTCCTGCCCCTCTCACCACATAATTCATCCTTCTCTACTTGAGATTGAATGATTATTAGAGTATTAGGATAACCTCCAACAACAGGACCCTCAACATCAACATATACACTAATACCATATCATTACAGAATCTCTCCACGAGACTCATACCATGCTCATATTCCTCAACTCATATTATACCATTCCAAAATCTCCCCATAATACTCATATCATGTTCAGATGCATAAATTCAAATCCAATATAATAAAATACAATCATCACAGAAATCATACAAAATGAATATATCACAAAATAAATTAACAATACTAAAATATCACTATAAATGGTAACCGGAGAAGAATCAAATGTTTGACGAATCAAACTCACCATAAACGCCAGTACATATGACTAGTCACAACTTATTGGATTTGACCAGGGCTGCTCTATGATCAAGGATGTATCAACTCCAGTTTTTAAGATTCCTCTATCCTACCATCACAATTATAACCTTAATATAAACGTTCTGGGGAACTAAGGAGTTGAATCTGGCATAGCCGGTTAAACATCTTTTTATCCTTCCAGAAAGATGAATCCATCACATATTTTATATCAATTGAGTATATTGCATAATAGTTTAACAGTACTTAATCTGTTCAATAGGATTTAAGTTAAAAACCGAGTAGACTTCCAGGAAAGAGAGGTGTGTCACCATGGACAACTTAAGTACCAAGTTTTTCCTTAGCCAAAGTGTTCCTCAACTAGTTTTTAACAAATTTCTTATTTACAGATTCAAAACAACAACATATAATATTAACATAGAAATTAAATATAGATAGATATACACCAAGCACATATGTTTTTCATTAAGAGTATTCACACAGAATTTCAAGACATGAATAGTAATAAAACAATACTAAATCATAATATAAAAGCTTAGAAAGGTTAGCTCCCCTATCTCTATTCCAGACTTAATCTCTTGCTCAGAATTTGTTGCCCCGAAAACCCTCCAGAACCTCTACTCTTCTTGCAATTAAAAATTTCTTCCTAACTCTTTCTTCTCTATTTCTCAAGATTTATCACTTGATTTTTCCTCTCTTTGTGCAAAATAACCCCCCCTCTCATGGCTATTTATATTCCAAAAATGTTACTATTTAACAATTTTTTAATATTATTTATTATTTTAATATTATTTTATTATATTAATATTTTAATCACCACATATTTGATCCCTCAATAATGCTTTCAAACGTGGAGTGCTTATCATTATGAATATTTTAAATTTTTTTTAAAACAAAAAGGTAGAAAAAAGTTTAAACCCATATTCTTGAAATCACCACAATTTTCTACCATTTAAGCTACCAAAATTTCTTATTTAGCTTTCTACATTTTATTTCTACATAAACTTATTAATTATATTTTCCATTTACAAAAAATTTTATTACTAGTAATAAAATTGTTACTGTTAAGGTAAATATTTTTAATGGGTATTAGAGAAAAGAAGTAATAAATTAAATAAAAAGTTAACAAAAGAGAGGTTGTGCTATGCAGGACTTATGAAAAAAAAAAAATAAACATAAAAGAAAGCAAAAGATGCAGGAAAATAAGATTGAAGAAGTCGTAAAAAATAAAATAAACATATTAAAAAATTAAAAGTCGTGTATTCTTCATGACTGTTCTTACTACCATGACTACTCTTACTACATTCAAAACATGTATATTGATGTAGATGATTACGTTCAATGTTTATTCCATTTCTTCTACAGAGCCTTGTTCAATTTCTTCAAACCCAGCATCACACGTATGATTATTAAAACACTCAATCTTACAAATCATCAGTCTTGCGTTGCTTTCAATTACCTCAAATCAAACATAATTTTAATCGTAAATATAACTTCACTAATTTTGTTGAACATAAACACCCCTCCAAACATACACAAACTTAAATTTATTTCTGCAAGTGAGTTAGAACTCATGAAACCAAATGAGGTTTCTTCCATCATCTCCCTTCCTCTCAAATAGTAAAAACGCAGAAACAAACGTAGCGTTAATGTCTTCATTTATGACCTCAAAAAAAGAAAGGAAATATATATATATATATATATATATATATATATATATATATATTATGTATATATTAACAAATTATAATAAATAATAATATAATTAATTTATTAACTAGATATACCATTTACATTTTCTATTTGAAATTATCCCATCAAAATTTAATATTTATATAGAAATTTATTTAAATTGGTAAAATTGATTATTAATATTAATAATATTCTAGTTTTTAAAAAATATATTTGGGTTAAATATGTTTTTAGTCCCTAAACTATTGACCCTTTCTGGTTTTCGTCCCTCTTTCAAAGTATTTCGAAACGTTCGTTTTAGTCCTCGAAAACTAAACCAAATTGTATCTTACTTTGAAAGAGGGACGAAAACCAGAAACGACCAATAATGTAGGGACTAAAAACATATTTAACCCAATATATTTTCACTAGTTTTATATTTTATGTTGCAACTAATTTATATTCACATTAATTTTACATATTATTTAATAATCTGGAAATTTTATTAAAAAAGTATACACATTTAATTTTCAAAATTCATATTTTAAATTATTAAACATTTTTTAATACATTTCAAAAATAAAAATAAAAATCCTGCATATCAAGAAAAATCGATTTGCAGAATATTTTTTTGGTTTAGGGTAAAAAATTAATAAATTATGAGTTAGCTATAGTACTTGTTATTAAGGATGTTGTCCTTGTCATTGTCCACGTCCAGGTTCAATCTTAATCTCAACTGAACGATCTTGTTCTTGTCATTGCCAAAAATGGCTCTGAAGGCAAAGAACAAGAAAAATCAGCAGCAGAACCAGCAAAAGCCAAGAAACAAACAGGACCTGAAATCAAAATCTTGGCTCGACCTTCCAAAGAATCTCCATAAAATCATAGAAGGGAACCCAAATCTCCACAAGAACATCAATGGTGGGGGCATAATCAAGTCATGGAGATCACCACCAAAGCAATGCAATCCACATTCCAAACCTCCCTTGGCTTCAACTCTCCAACCCTGATGCCATAAACGCTGAGAATTACCCTAGACACGTTGCTCGAAGTGGCTCCATCGAAACTTCATATGCATACATGCCCTTTGGGTGCTGGTGTAGACCCTTCTTCAGAAAACTGCCAAGGTACCCTTGGGAAAATTATGTGGGGTGCTCCAATGGCATCCTCATAGCTGAAGTTGAACCACTTTACATGTACAATCTATGGAATCCAACTCATAGAGAAACGTTTCGACTTCCTTTATGGGATCCCAAGGTACCAATTAAACTCGCTGTGCTTTCTTCACCACCTGAAGATCATAACTGCGCAGTCATGATGCTAACAGGAATTAGTCAACCAGCTTTTGCATTTTGCAAACTGAAAGGAAGGTCTAATGGTTCATGGATAACACCAGAGCCTCAATGGACCATGCAAGATTGTACCCTCACCGAGCCATTAGGTAGCCAACAGAAGGCTGTGCAATTCACTAATGCAATAGGATTTCAAGGAAAGTTCTATGCTTTAAGTGTTCAGGGGAGTCTTGTGGTTATCGAAGACGTTGATTCTGTTGCAAAAGTCACTGATTTAAGTGGCACAAGGATATTTCCTTTGGTTTCTTCAAACCATTTCAGAGAATATTTGGTGGAGTCTGAGGGGGAAATTTTGCTGGTTTTTATTTTATCAAGAAAATCGAGGTTGCATGGTGTGGATGGTGTCGAGGTTTATCAACTGAATGTGGCTAGAGTCTCTTGGATTAAAGTGGAGAGTGTTGGGGAACAAGCAGTGTTTGTGGGAAGTAATTGTAGTTTATCTGTGTTGGCAAGTGAAGTAGGATGTAGGAGGAACTGCATTTATTTTAGAAACCCTGTGGCTGATGAATGGACCGTATATGACATGCAATCTGGTAGTTTTTTGTGAGGCAAATCCAACAAAATCATCTGCAATTTGGATTAAAAAAATTGAAGAATAAATTTTTCAAGCAGGATAAAACGTTGATATTGTTGCTAATTTTTTTAATGGTTTTGTTAGGTTCGTTTTTTGTGTATCTCATGTGGACTAAAAACATAAAAATATTGAGCAACACAATGAAGAAAAATTTTATTGTTTTAAAGTGTTTGATTGGAGATGTCAGCCTCTTACTTGCAAGAGTTGTCTCAACTTCCAAATAAGTCAAATTACGTTAATTTCTACTTTTTATTGCTCTCTTCTTAATCTCCTTTCCATGGCAATTGAGTTATAAAGTAGACGTGACAGGAAAAAAATAAAATAGAGAACGGTATGAGATCTGTTGAAGAATCTTTTGTAACATTACAGAACGGCAGGGCCAGATTTAGGTTTGAAATTGTTAGAAGAAAATACATATGAGGGAGTGTGACACATAGAATTTCACTAAGAAAAAAAGAAGATAAATAGAAAACGAAATCAAACTCAGTAGGTATGCAAATGTGCAGCTGTTGGGGTAATGATTTCAAGAGTTGCTGTGGATTGTGAGGACCCCGTGAATACACTGCTGCTTGAAGTTGAAGACAGTGGTTGGTTATTTGAAAAAGCAGGAGTCCCAGAAGCCATAGAACTGAAAGATGCATTATAGACTGATCCCCTTTGTGTGAGAATGGGCAATGGAGCTTCAAAATTAAGCATCTGAACAACTTGCCTAATGGTAGGTCTCATGAGGTAATCTGTGTGAGTGCAGCAAAGGCCAACTATCATTAACGTCTCCATTTCCTTCTCATCAAAGTGTCCATATAAGCTTGAATCAGAAGCTTTAAGAACTTCACCAATGCTATGGAGTTCCAAAACCCAATCCACCAAATACATCTGTTCTTCCTTCATATTAGATTCAATTGCTTTTCTACCACAGGCTATCTCCAAAGCAACTACTCCAAAACTGAATACATCAGATTCCCTACTGGCCTTGCCTCTTGTGGTAGCTTCAGGAGGCAAATACCCAATTGTTCCTGCTAAAACGGTTGTTTTTGATCCTATTCCATGATCCATTAGTCTGGCTAACCCAAAATCACCAAGCTTTGTATTAAAATTAGAATCCAACATAACATTGCTGGATTTTATGTCTCTATGAAGCACACATTCTTCCCACTCTTCATGCAGGTATAACAATGCTGATGCCAACCCTCTCGCAATATTGTATCTCACCTTCCATGTCAGCAGGCCTTTTCCCTTGAACAGATAAGAATCCAAGCTTCCATTTTCCATGAACTCATAAATCAGCAGCAGGTCCTCATGCTCATGGCACCACCCAAAGAGTTGAACCAAATTCTTATGCCTCAGTTGACCAAAGATCTTTACTTCAGATATATACTCTTTCACCCCTTGTCTAGATCCACGAGATACCTTCTTAATGGCAACATAGGTGTTCAACTCTCTTATAAATCCCCTGTAGACGGCGCCAAAACCTCCCTGTCCAATTTTGTTTTCTGTTGCGAAGTTATTGGTTGCTCTGGCTAGTTCTTCATAGGAAAATTTCTTGGGTACAGAGACTTTTTCGAAATCATTGTCCATAGCATGGTCAAAAAGGGAGACATCTTCTATTCCTCTAGTCCTCATCATCCATCTCACAAGAAAAGTTACCCCCACAATAGCTATTAAAACACCAACACCAAGTCCAACGCTCAGCCCTATCACCAGCCCTCTTTTGCTTCCACCCTTGTCTTGTTCCATCTCCAAACTAGATTTGAAGGACCATGAACTAAGAGTATGTTCCTCATAAGTATATCCTGTTGCCGAAGAGAAACCAAATTTAACCCATTCAGGTAAGATATCACTCAAATTGACCACTGCGAATAAGGTCTGTTCAATTTTGGCATTATCCTTATATCCGGTGAAGGTGACACTTAATCTGTTTGACACAGACTCAAAACTAATTTCAGCATCATACCCTCTTTGATCCATGCTAGTGTACCACTCTGTAGTGTGAGTAGTGTTAATAGCATTGACATCGATACCCACATGATCATATTTCGGATCCCAGTCATTAGCCAAGGTATCAAATTCCACTGCTACAAAAGGAAAGTCCTTTGCGTAATTTATAGACCCCAGTTGCTCACGGCTGGCCAGACCAATACCACTTCCATCTATTTTGGAGTCTGGAAACTTTGGATCTGCCAGAAAGAAGGTGATTCCATCTCCATGATAGGTTTTATTTGGGGTGTTGATGGTAAAGAAGAAATGGGTAGTGAAATCTGCAACCTTTCCCGAACTCTTGTCCCAAAGATGCAATAATTTGTTATATACGACTCTACCATAACTATCTGGCTTATACTCGGTGAGTTGGAGGATTCCTTGCACAGCTTGAACATCTCCCGAGGTATTGAAGTCGTTTCCAGTGTCACCAAATTGCTGATAGTTGAATTCCAATGAAGCTGCATGAGGTGTTACAAGAAGCAAGAGTGTTAATGTTACATGAAAACAAGCACTTACATAACTTTTCTTGCAGTAGCAAGATGCTGCCATGACTGGAGAAAGATGTTGGGTGCAATGGAAAATGGAATACTACAAATATGGTTTGGTTGGGTAGCTGTTTCTAGAGTTCTAGTCAATGATAGGTGTTTTGTTCATTAACATTGTTGTTCACTGTTTTATGATTGAATGAGTCAAACATGGGTAAACGAACCCTCTACGAAAAAAAGGATGAAAAGTGCAAGTTTAATAGATATTTGAACCACATTTGTGTATTCAATGTGAACCTCTCTAAATGGCTATTCCATTGAAATTTCTCAAGAAACATGATTTCTATAGAAAAATTTACAAGTCATTTGTTGTTTGGAAGTGTTGTGTTCACTCTTTCATCCTTGGTCTAAGAACAAATATGATCTGACAGGTACATACTACTAGATTTTGTTAAAAAAACATTTTTCTTTTAACTTTGAGTGGTCAATGCTTCATTTATTGAAGTTGTCAATTACACGTAAAGAAGTCTATAAAAGTTGTTGGGGACCGCAGAGCTTAGTTGAAGATATTTCTACAACCACAACAAATAAATAAATTAAGAAATTTCCGAACAAAAAAGGCATTGACAATGTCCCACAGTTCCTCTTACCTTGTCAACTGCTCAATTTCGTGCCATTTGCAGCATTTGCAACCCCATTCATTCTCTTCTTTGTCGTTTTTCATCTTCTAACTTATTTAGCCAGCTTTTTTATAAGAAGAAAAAAGTAGTTTAAAAAACATTTAGAGAAAAATGATGGTTTCAGAACCATATAGCCATGTAAACTATGCTTCTATGCTTTTAATATTAATATAATCATATTACAATATAAAATTTTCAATTGTAAAAAAAATATATTAATACCTGATGTAAATTTGTTGGGGTGCAGAGATATCATTATCCATTTTAAATTAAAAAATAAACAACAACATTTAAAAAAAAACTAAATTGAAATTTACATATTTAAGAGAAATTGAAAATATATATTTTTATAAGTAATATAAACAACCTTACCTTAATATTTTATTCGTGCAAACAATTGATACTATCAATTACAAATTGTTATGGAAAAAATTATATAATATAATTGCAATAAAAATTAAAATATTTTCGTGACAGACTAGAATTAAAAGTCTATACCAATATATTACCAAATCAGTACGTTAAAATAACATTTTTATAGAATTAAAAAGATATCTAAGCAATTGATTTTACTCCCCGATGTAAAACCCCAACTATTTTATAACTTATGGTAGTATAAAAATAACGAGACTAAGTTATTTTAATATTAAATAGTTTTATTATAAATAATTTTGTTATAAATTAGTTTTATTATTTTAAAACATATAATATCTTTAGAAATCACTTTTCTAGAGTTCAATACCTTCTTTCTAAGAATTCTAACTCCTGAGTCATCTCTTTGACGATCAGGAGGTGTCTAATAGACCACGACTACATTCCTATCTGATTGTTTTCTTTAATAGCATGTAAGTTTAGACTCTTTTTTCTTTTTTCGTTCTTAATTAAAATCATGCTTAACGATTTTTTGTCGCATGTGAATTGTAATGTGCTTTCTTAGTCTCTCGTTGATTAGAGGTCCTAAGGACTCTCTCTGATCTTTGTTTGGTGTTTTGTAGGTGTTTCTAGAATTCCTTGAGCTATAATCAAGGTTTCGGTGTTTATAGAATTTCGTTGCTTCAGTGTAAGGTAAAGGAAGCTAGTTTTTTTTTATCTTAGTTAAATTATGATGTATGAATTGTTATTTACTGGTGTGTATAACTAATGTATGTTGTTGGTTGTGTTAAAGACGATTGTTATTAAGTATTGAATGTTTGAAATGATGAAAATTGGTTGAATGATGTAGTGCACCTTACTGTTTTCGTTTGGAATTGATTAATTTTCATGAATGCTTATGTTGAAATGCTTGATGGTATCAATTTGGTTAGGAAGTTGAGAATAAGTGATTTTGACTAAGTTATAAGTCATTTTCTATAGTAAAAATAGAGGTTTGATAGGTGAGTTTTAGAATTAATGGTTTAAGGTGAGAATTGGTGGTTAGAAGATGTTATTTTGGCAATTTGTAACTTGTTTGGGATGAGAATTAGTTGATATGTGCGTTAGAATGGAGTGGTAGTCATTTTGGAGTATTTGCAAAGTTGTTTAAGTGTATTTTGGGGGTTTGAACTAGTGAGATTTTGAATTTTAAGTTTTGTGTCAAAATAGTCATTTTGGAGGGTTAGAAGTTACGAAAGGTGCATAAAATAGGTCATGAGTATCAGAAGGTCCTAGTCTTGGGTGTTTCTAGTATGATCTAAGGTGAGTGATAACAGACTAACCTTGTTAGGGTGGTAGGGTGAAATCCATTGACAATGACTTTGCAAAGCAGTAGAGGCCACCATAAGTGCACAACCTGTCATAGCTCGAAATTCATTCTAAGTCTGGATAGTCTAGTCAAAGTATGATCATGCATAAAGTGTTTAATTGATTGATGTGATATGTGTATCATGTGTATAATGTATAAACATTTATATATACCATTAATTGTTTGT